ATCCCCACAGTGGAAGCCTGTGAGCTTTGAAAGAGCTGACTCCCCAAAGTTGACCCATGACCTCCACACTCACACCTGCATGGGTACTCGTGTGCAGAGACACAGACAGCTTTTACTAGATAACATTACTACATAATTATGCATTATTAGATAATAATGCAGTCTTTTATTAGACCTGGGTTGGCAAGAGAGTTCAGTAAGTAAAGGCCCTTGCCACCAAGCCTGGCAACTTAAATTCAATGCCTAGAACTCACATGGTAGAAGGAGAGAGTCACTCCGGGTCTCCTTAGACACCTGCACACATGTGGTACAGGCATACATACATATACATAAAAATAAATTTGGGGAGCAAAAAAAAAGATCATGTCTCCAAAAGAAGTTGCCAAGAAAGAGGATGCATCGGCTGGGTAGCAGTCTCCTTAATAGATGAACTTAATGGGTTGCCCTCAGGACCCTGGAGATGATTTTCTAGGGGTCTTCATGCCTCTAGTGGCAATGCTATTCCCAACCTGGGCTCTAGACAGGTATGTGGGTGCCTTTGGGAAACCGTGGCAGTAACCAGGGTTCACATTGGCCATGTCATCTTATCCATCTACATTAATCTGTAGAATAAAAAAAAAAAAAAAGAAGTCACTGAACTCCTGTACAGAGGTAAGTTCAACTCCCCTGGCTGCTGGAAGATTCTCTAGGAAGTGGACTTCAATAAGTGGCAGCTGAGACATGGTTCATCCCTGATGGCTGTGGGGTCAGTCATGGTCCCCTGGACATAGAGGGCTTCCATCCTGCTGTCCTGTGCCCCACTGAGTCATGACTGTGATGAGCACTGCCCAGTCTGAGTTGGGGATGGAGAGGAGGAGGAGTCCCTGAGTCCCACTTTGAAACTGCTCCTGGTAGGTCATGAGCTACTAAGATGAGAATAACCAGCTGCATCAGCCTCCTGCACCACCCTACCAGGTCTGGTGTCTGCAGCCTCTAGTGAATAATCACACCATGGAGCTCACACCCCAAATTTACCATCTGCAGAGCCCAGTGCAGGCCAGTCCCTAGTCCCTAGGTTCTGGTCCTCTCCTCTCTCTGTCTCTGTCTCTCTGTCTCTCTCTGTCTCTCTGTCTCTGTCTGTCTCTATCTATCTCTGTCTCTCTGTGTCTCTGTCTCTGTCTCTGTCTCTGTCTCTCTCTCTCTCTCTCCTCTCTCTCCAACTCACTATGTAGACCAGGCTGACTCCAAACCTCACAGATCTGCCTGCCCCTGCCTCCCAAGTGCTGGGATTAAAGATGTGAGCCACCATACTTGGCTATTCCAAACTCTCCATGGCTAGGGATATGGCTCAGTGTGATCCAACCAGAAAGGGTAAAGACTTGTAGCCAAAGGTTATGTATGGTAGTCTCTTCAAGACACTTGCCCCTGAAGTACCAAAGCTGGCCTTCCCTAAAGACCAGGGCTGCTGGACTCCACGTTAGGAGTCCAGGAAGAGGTTTGAGGCCTAAACAGAAGCAGCCAGGCCCCTGAGAGGGCATACAGAGAAAGACTCCTCCCCTGAGTGCAGACAGTGTCTTAGATCCATCGGACTCTTCCACTCTCCTAACACGGCTTGGCCCCCTCTGGAGTGAAGTTGTATACACGCAGAACACATGCTCAGATTTAGCTCTTTTAGTCTCTTCATCTTTTCAGCCGTGTGACATCTCAGAACCTTAGTAGCATCTTTTGTAAAAATGGTTATGGTGCCTCATTGAGCTATGTGTGAAATGACAGAAAACAATATTTAAGACCTCTTGCCCAGGACCTAAAATACTATAGACATTTCTACAAGTGGTAACTGGAACCATGAAATTGTTTCCACTCTCTCAGACCTGCCCAGCACTGCAATGTAACAAGACAGACAGGCAGGCTGCTGCCTTTCTCCCTGGAACAGCTGTGCCAGACAGGGATAGGACACTCCCTTGTCGTATAGGCCTTCTATCCCATGACAGCAACCAAGACCAACAGCCAGACTCCTGCCTACAATGTCAGGCACCCTCTCCCACCCTGCCCTTCCTCCTGCAGGCTTGGGGACCCAGATGTGGGGAGCCAACCCCTCAATGCCATGCCACGCTTTCTGTGCAATGGCTTCTCCCCTCATTCTTGGAACACAGACAATGGATAGAACAGGGGCCTTTCCCAAGCAGAAATGAAAACGCACTCCCAACAGCAGGGAGACTGAGGCAACAGGATAGCTCCACGTTTGAGAGTAGCTTCAACATGGAGAGACCCTGTCTCAAAACAAAAGAAAAATAGCACAACAAAAAAAGAGCTGAATGGCCGGCGGTGATGATGCACGCCTTTAATCCCAGCACTCGGGAGGCAGAGGCAGCCGGATCTCTGTGAGTTCGAGACCAGCCTGGTCTACAAGAGCGAGTTCCCGGACAGCCTCCAAATCCACAGAGAAATCCTGTCTCGAAAAACCAAGAGCTGAAGCTGGAGCTCTGTGGGTGGAATGCTGACCAGAGTGCATGAAGGTTCAACACCCCCTGCTCCCTTCCCCCCACTGAGGCGCCATGTGCTGGTACACACACAGCACTGGCGAGCAGAGATAGGAGGCTCAGGAGCTCCAGGTCCTTTAGAGGAAATAGCTTAGTGGATAAAGCACTTGATACTCATGGAAAGGCTGTGAGTGCCAGTGAGGCTCAGTAACCCCGTCTGTGATCCCTGGAGTAAGCTGGCTGACTAGACAGGCAGAATCAAGCAAGCTCTGGGTTCAAGTGAGAGACCTTGCCTCTATATATAATCTCATATATGTATGTGATCAAGGAAGACACTGACATCAACTTCTAGCCTCCATACACACATGCATGAGCATAACACACACATTCACACACACTATATATATATACACTATATATATATACACACTATATATATATACACACGCACTATATATATATACACACACACACACACACACACACACACACACACACACATGCCAAAAAATGTTCATGGGCATCCTTGCCTACATACAGAGTTTGAAACCAACCCAGGCAATATGAGACCACCTCACAAGTGTCTTGAAGGTATCCTTTGGTCACAAGTCTTTGCCCATTCTGGTTGGACCACACTGAACTGTATCCCTAGTCAGAGAAAGATAGAAAGAGTTTAGAATAGCCAAGTATGGTGGCTTACACCTTTAGTCCCAACACTTGAGGGTGGGGGCAAGGTGTCAGAGGCAGGCAGATCTCTGTAAGTTTGAGACCAACCTAGTCTACAGTGAGAGTTCCAGGACTATAAAGAAAAAAAACCAAAAAACAAAGAACAAATGGGGACTGGAGAGATGGCCCAGGGGTTAAGAACACTGGCTGCTCTTCCAGAGGTCCTAAATTGGTACATGGTAGCTAACAACTATCTGTAGTGAGATCTAGTGCCCTCTCCTGGCCCTCAGGCAAACATGCAGGCAGAGCACTGTATACATATTAAATAAGTAAATAAATAAATCTTTTTAAAAAGAAGAAGAAGAAGGGCTGGAGAGATGACTCAGTGGTTAAGAGCACTGGCTGCTTTTCCAGAGGATCTGAGTTCAATTGCCTGCAGCCACATAGTGGCTCACAACCATTCGTAATGAGATCTGGTGCCCTCTTCTGGCCTGCAGGTGTACATGCAGGCAGGACACTGTATACTTACTAAATCTTTTTTTTTAAGTGGGGGAGGGGGCTCAGAAAGACAACTATAGTATGTACTCACTCATAAATGGATACCAGACATAAAGCAAAAAAAAAATCCAGCCTACAATCCACAACCCCAGAGAAGCTAGAACCCTCTTCTGAAACAGAAGGAAGCAGATGCAGAAATCCACAAGGAACCATTGGGCTAAGCTCCTGGAGTACAACCAAGTGAGGGAGGAGCAGTATTATGAACAAAGGAGTCAAGACCATGATGGGGAAACCCACAGCATCAGCTGACCTGAGCTACTGAGAGATCACTGACTCAGGTCTGACAAATGGGGATTCTACATAATACGGAACTAGACTCCCTTAATATAGGTGACAATGGCATGACTGGGACAATGTATGAGGCCACTGGCAGTGAGTCCAAGATCTAACTCTAATGCACAAACTGATTTAGTGGAGCTCATTCTATATGGAGAGATACCTTGCTCAGCCTAGACACAGGGGTGTGTGGGGTGGAGGGGTGCCTTGGTCCAGCCTCAACAAGATGATGGGACAAACTTAGTAGACTTCCTAGGGCTCCCTCTCCATGGAGCAGATGGGAGGTGAGGGGAATGGGAGGGAGAGAAGGGAGGGGGAACTGGGATTGGAATGTAAAAAGTAAATTAATAAAAAGAGAAATACCAAAAAAAGGGGGAGGGGGCAGGAGAGATGGCTCAGCAGTTAAGAGCTTTTCCAGAGAACCTGGGTTCAATTCCCAGCACCCACATGTTAACTCACACCTGTTTGTAACTCCACTTCCAGGGGATCTGACACCTTCCTACCAACGCACATAAAATAAAATTAAATACATTTTTTAAAAAAAGAAGAAAAGAAAAACAACAAAAAACAAAAAGCCAGGGTGGAGGGGCCGCTTCTTTCAGAGGTTCAGGGCTAGCTAGTAACTCTGCCACTCAGTCGGGGCAGAGTAGTGGGCTGCTGGCCTTATCTGTGACCCTTAGAAAGCTGCCCCCCTCTCCACCAGCGCTTGCTCCCTGCCTCTGACTCTCTTCAGCTGGGATGTCAATGCCTGCCTGCACTGCAGTCATGTTCTCCAGCCCCCAGCTCTCCAGGAGCTCCTGCAACACCCTGGGTGAGGGGAGGGGCCCGATGACCCCCCCTTGCCACATCTCACAGAACCCTGGGTGAGAGGAGGGGCCCGATGACCCCCCCTGGCCACATCCCACAGAATACCTCACTTTCTCTGTTGGTGCTTACGGCCACTGTGCCTTTAAGGCCTACTGCTCAGTGCCAGGGTCTTGACCCCAGCATCCTCAGCTGAGTTGGATTAAGGACCATTTCGTGCCTTTTGTGAATTCCTTCTCGCATCAGTTCCCTCCCCCGCGTGGAGACAGAGTAGCCTGGAGCCCCAACCATTCTGCCAAAGGCAACCAGAGAACTGGTCTCTCCTGACAGCCTTGTCCCTCAGAGTTGCTTCCTTGATAGGTGACTTGTGACCAGGGAGTGGACCCTCAGGGGTCTTGGGCTACCGAAGGATCTCCAGAAAGCCATGCAGAATCTTAAGCCATGAAGGACTATTCCGATGTCATCCTCTGTCCAGAGGCAACTGAGTTGAGCAAGGTAAGACCCACATGAAACCCCCCATGTCCCCAGTAAACCTACCTGCCACAGCCTGCAAGCCTCTGCCTTCCTTTCCAGACAGAGTTCTGTAATCCTGCTTTCGATCCTGAAGCAGGGCCTTCCTGCCCTCCAGCAGCCTTACAGAAAGATGCCAGCAGCAGCCTCAAAGCTTCCTGGCATGGTAACTATCCTAGGGGTTGCTAAGGCATAGGAGGGAGACCAAAAACTAAGGCGTGAGGAATACCTCATGCAGGAGTGCTTCTGAAAAAGCCCACTGTGTCCTCCCCACAGCCCAGCATCTCCGAAGGCTACAACCAGACTGCCATTTCTCCTGGTTCTGTATCCTGCTGCTCAGTGGCCTTCTGGTCCTGTTACTGGGGCTACTGGTGGCTATCATTCTGGCTCGTAAGTACTTGGGAGGACTTTATACGGAGAGTCCATGAACTGTTCGGTCAGCCTCCGGGGGCCCGCTCCACTAAATGATACTCCTCCATCCTCCTGCCCCCAGAATTGCAGGCTACATCTTTCCCCAGGACAACCCAGAGCCCACTGCCCACCCGAGGCCTCGCCCCCAAGGGTGGCATTTCTAGCACCACCCCTAACACCAGGACCACCGCCACCACCCCTCCAGCAACCACAGGGCAGCAGGAGGGGGCTGTGAGCTCTACACACCAGACCAGTGAGTTCAAAGGGCATTTTTCTGGAGAAGACCCAAGGCGGCTTGGGGAGGAAAAGCCTGGAAGAGAAACATCGGGGATGGGGAGAAGGCTTCTCTCCTACTGACCTCTGAACCCTGTCCTCCATCGTCTGCAGCCTGCGGAGGCCTCCTTCCTGGTCCAAGGGGTTTCTTCAGCAGCCCCAACTACCCAGACCTTTACCCACCCCACAGCCACTGTGTCTGGCATATCCAGGTAGCCCCAGGCCAGACCGTGCAGCTCAAGATTGAAGCTCTCAGCATAGAAGGTGTGCTCGCCTGTCTTTTCGATCGCTTGGAAATTGCCCCAGAGCCTTCAGGCCCTCTCCTCAGGTGGGTCCCTCTGTTTCCAGGGGATCCCACTTGTCTGAAGGGTAGAGAAAGAGGGAGCAGAAGCAAAAGTCCAGATGGAATGAGCAGAACTGATCTCTGACCCCTTCCTGCCAGCACCTTGTTGTCCTGTGGCCTAGGAAAGTCACTTCCCCTCTCCAATCCTTTCCTTTTCCTTTTCCTTTCCCTTTCTTTCTTTCTTTCTTTCTTTCTTTCTTTTGTATGTGTTTGGGGGGGGAGGGTCCAAGACAGGCTTTCTCTGTGCAACAGTCCTGGCTGTCCTAGAACTCGCTTTGTAGACCAGGCTGGCCTTGAACTCACAGAGATCCAAACTGCCTCTGCCTCCCAAGTGCTGGGATTAAAGCGTGGGCCACCACCACTGCTAGACTCTGATCCATTTCTTACCTGAGTTCAGAGCCTCTATCTCTCCCAACCTGGCTTTTTTACAGGGTATGTGGTAAAACGCCTCCCGCCACACTAAACACCAATACCAGCCACCTCCGAGTGTCCTTCGTCTCTGATGACGACGTGGAAGGGTCTGGTTTCCAGGCCTGGTACCAAGCTGTGGCCCCTGGACATTGTGAGTGGCTTCCCATCGTGTCCCCAGCAGCCTCCCCAGCAGCTGTCCTAGCACTGGCAAAGAGGACTGAAACTCTGGGGAATTGTGACTCCAGATGGTTTGTCCCTTCTCCAGGGAGCTGTGCCCATAATGAGTTCCGCTGCGATGAGCTCCTCTGCCTGAAGCATTACTTAGTATGTGATGGCATGACCAACTGCGCCGATGGCAGTGACGAGGCCAACTGCAGTGCCAAGAACCTGGGTACAGGCCCAGCTAGGGACAGGGCAGGCACATCTTCAGGCTGGGCTCCCCTGCTCTGACCCAGATTTTCTTGCCTGGTCACTCATGTGCCATTTGGCTTCTCTCCAGGGTGTGGAGGGAATCTGACTGGGCTCCACGGTGTATTCTCTACTCCCAACTACCCCCAGCACTACCCTCACCATCAGGTAAGTGTGGTGCCCTCGGGAACTGGTAGAGTACTCGTCAGACACCAGGGTTCCTAGGTTTGTGTGCCTGGGAACAACATGCCTGGGTAAAATCAGTTCATGCTGGCCAGAAGAAAACATTGTTAAGCACCAACTGTATACCCAGATATTTCCATGCTGGGTAAACATATCTATCTCTGAAACTAGACAATTTGAAGGGGCATTTATTTATCTATAGAGAAAGTCTCACTCTGTACCACATGCTGATCTTGTAACTGGTGAGAATCCTCCTGCCCCAGCCCTCCCAAGTGCTTGGATTATAGGTATGAGCCACCATGCCAGGCCTGGGGTTTTGTTTGTTGTGAGACAGGATCTCACTATGTAGCCCTGGCTGGCCTGGAACCCACAGAGATTCACCTGCCTCTGCCTGGGAATAAAAGTGTGCACCCCCTACTTTCACCCCACCCCCACACCTGCTGGGTTGTTTTTGTTTGTTTGTTTGTTTTTCCATGCTGAGGAGCTTGTGCCTGCCAGACAAGTTCTTTACCACTGAGCTAATCCCTGGTCCTTGGCTTTTTTTTGTTGTTGATGTTTGGGTTTTTTTCTGGGGGGGGGTTGTTTTTTCGTTTGTTTGTTTTATGTTTGTTTGGTTCCTGACTTTTTTTTTAAAGATTTATTTATTAAGAATACAACATCCTGCCTCCATGTATGCCTACACGCCAGAAGAGGGCACCAGAACTTATTATGGATGGTTGGGAGCCACCATGTGGTTGCTGGGAACTAAACTCAGGACCTCTGGAAGAGCGGTCGGTGCTCTTAACCTCTGAGCCATCTCTCCAGCCCCTGGTTCCTGACTTTTTGAGACCATCTCTGTATGTAGTTCAGGAGGCTGTTTTGGAACTTGACATATAGCTGGGGCTAGCCTTGAACTCTGCTTACAAGCACTGGAATTATAGGTGTAAGCCACCATGTCTGATTGACTCTTCCTATTTTAAGATGCGCCAATGATGAAACGTGAGGTAGACAACACCCACTCAAAGCCTGCCTCGTATGCCCTGCCCCTGGGCGTAGAAGACGGGGCTGAGGCAGGGGACGGTTCCCCGCGAATTGTCTCACCTGTACCCTCCCCAGCTTTGCACCTGGTACATCTCAGTGCCCGAGGGATATGGCGTAGGACTGCAGTTCCGGAACTTCAGCCTGGAAGCACAGGCTGAGTGCAAGTTTGACTACGTGGAGGTGTATGAGGCCAGCAGTTCCGGGGCCTTCAGCTTCCTGGGCAGGTACCAACCAGTGCAACCCATGCCCCATCTGGCAGGCTGGGCTCCCCAGCTTTACTGTCTATAAACTAAAGATCTCTTTACCGGCACCCTGAAACAGCATGCACTTGCCTGCCCTGCTCTCCCCATCTGTAGGGCCTTTGCCTAGCCCATCTCCCCTGACTTTCCCATCTCATACTTTCCTCTAACAAAGCGCGTGTCTGCTTCCCCAGACCCTAAGCTCCATGAATCAGCAGTCATGTTCCCCATCACCCCTGGCATGGCCAAGAGCCCAGTCAGAGCCCCCAGGGCTGGCCAGTGGCCTGAGCCAGGATATATTTCTACTCTGGGCAGGTTCTGTGGCGCTGAGCTGCCAGCCCCCCTCATCTCCTCACAGCACCAGCTGGCCGTAATCTTTAAGACGGATTTTGGAATCAGCAGCGGGGGCTTCTTAGCCACCTACGAGGCCATCAATACTACAGAGAGTAGGTGCCCCTGGGCAGGTGGGTGTGGGCAACAGAGGCTTGTCCATGGAACATCGCTGGAGGGCAGTGGGCACAGACATGTCCTAGGGCACTATCAGGCCCCTAATGCCCACAGACCCTTGTGGGCCCAGAGAGCTCTGCCAAGACGGAGGGTGTAGGGACCTGCAATGGATGTGTGACTTGTGGAGAGGCTGTGCGAATGGCAGCAATGACAACAATTGCAGCAGTCACTTGCTCCCGCAGCCAGGTAAGGAGCCTTACCCCAAGCAAGTCCTGCTGACCACAACAGGCTGGGTTCCTACCACACTCTCCTCACCTCCCTGTCCTTCCCCCTTGATGAGTTCATGCCTGGGCCCCTTCCCCTCACCCTGGGATCACTTTACAGAGTCTTGGCTTGGCGAGGCTCTCAGCCCGTGTTGGCATTGCACACTAATGTCACCTGAAAGGGACACAGGAATGCAGGAATCAGCGGTGGGGTGTTGAGACTTGTCTACCTTGTCACTCGCAGTCCCTCTCCACGGGCTGCTTCACAGATCGCATGACAGAAGTCCCTAGCGGTCCCCAGGGGGTGCTCCACACTCCCTAAGATCAGAGGGGCCTACATGACGCTCAGGCTGGCAAGCACAGCCCCTGGGAAACAGAAGCGCTCCGTGAAGTGTGAGAAGTAAGGGCCCAGAGCCAGACAGCGTGTCGTTTGCCACAGTGACCCGGCCTTCCCCTTCACAGAACTGGCCTGTGAACCTGTCCAAGTAGAAATGTGCCTTGGACTAAGCTACAGCACCACAGCTTTCCCCAACATCTGGGTGGGCCTGGGCACCCAGTCGGAGGTGGTAGACATCCTCAGGGGCTACAAGGTGGGTGCTGGGGCACGGAGGAGGGAGGCCATAGGAAGGGGCGGGTGCACGGGCCTGGACATCTGAGGTCTGACTGTCCCTCCCACAGAGTCTGACAAGCCTACCCTGCTACCAGAATTTCCGGAGGTTCCTTTGCGGGCTGCTTGTGCCTCACTGTACCCCACTGGGCGCTATCCTGCCCCCTTGCCGCTCCGTCTGCCAGGGGGCGGAGCGACATTGCCAGTCTAGCCTGGCACTACTGGGCACCCCCTGGCCCTTCAACTGCAACAGGCTGCCGGAGGCAGCGAGCCTGGAAGCTTGTTCCCAGCCGTGACCCGAAGCCGGCTCCTAACCCTGCCTGCCCATCCTCCTCTACCTCTGTGGGTGGGCAGGGCAGGCAGGAAACAAAGGGAAGTGACCTGGGCATGGGGCTCCCCAGGGAGAAGGACTGCTTTCAGTGCTGATCCCACCCAGGGCTGGTGGGACTCCCCGTCCTCCCTGTATCCTTGCCGCACCTTCATTTACCACGACAGCTCTCAGCGGCCAGGCCCCGTATTGTGCGGTTGGACAGCCCAGAGACTTCCTATCCAAGTCTCTGACCCTGACTCCCTATCTTCTGCCTTCCCCCTTTCCAGTTGAATATTTAAGATCATCAGGCCTTCAACTTTCCCATCTAGGCAACAAAACTGTACTGAGTGCCTACTGGTGTGGTGGGATCCTACTCTATGCCTGGGGGGTCTAACTGGCTCTCTGCTTTTGGAATTCTTCACCCTGGGCTCTGCTGATCCAGTCACACACACACACACACACACACACACACACACACACACACACACACACTAGTCTTGACTTTGATCTGTATCACTACCCCATCCCTCCCTCCCTCCCTCCCTCCAACTCCTGGGAACTGGAGCCCCAAGTGTCTGTCTGACAGTCCAACCTCTGTGTAATGCAGACTCAAGTCTCTCCTCCTCCTCCCCCCTTCTCCACACCCCCTACACCCTCGCAACTTTGGCCGGCCGCCGGGCGACACCACGAGTTATTTCCCTGCTATTTCCCAGCCCCGGAGCTCTTGGCCCCTGAACAACTGGTTTCCTCTAGGAGTTTGGGAGGAGCGCTGTGGAGCCGGCAAGGAACAACCAGAAGCTGGGAACAGTCAGCAAGGGCAAGGGCTGCCTGGTTGGGGTAGGAGTGGGAGCAGGGCCAGCTGGAGGGTCTGAGGAAGCCATTCAGAAAGAGCCGCTATGGGAGCTGGAGAGCGGGGAGGGGGTGAGTCTGGCAGAGGAGGAGAGTGGGTGGGGGAGGGGATTGTGGTAAAGCCTGGGCGCCAGCTAGGGGACCGGGTAGGGAGGACTTGTCTTTCCTTTCCTTTCCTATGCCCTTCCAGTTCTTGGTGTGGGACACCCTCCTCTTCATCCTGTCACACTACGCTCAGCCCATGTTTGTGGAGCTGGGTTCCACCTGGGTGGGGCGCGAGGTGGGTCCCCAGATTCTGGGTTCCGACTCTGGTCCTGCCCAGCCCACAGACTACAAGAGGATCCTGGCGTCTGGGCCTCCGGGGTCATCACCATGAGGCCACTTCTTGCCCTGCTGCTTCTGGGGCTGGTGTCAGGCTCTCCTCCACTGGATGACAACAAGATCCCCAGTCTGTGTCCCGGGCAGCCCGGCCTTCCAGGCACACCAGGCCACCACGGCAGCCAAGGTCTGCCTGGCCGCGACGGTCGTGATGGCCGCGACGGTGCGCCCGGAGCTCCGGGCGAGAAAGGCGAGGGCGGGAGGCCGGGTAAGAAGTCGTCTGCGCCCGCAGTCCATGGGAACATCCTAGTGAGCACCGCAGCTGCTCTCTGAGGTGCAAGGGCCCCTCCAGGGGGCGCTACTCCCCCTCCATTCTCGCCGGCTGGGGTGGGGCGAGGTGGGCTGTGGGTGGAGGGGGGTGAGTTAGCCCCAGTGAACCAGAAAACCTAGATCGCTCTACTCAGCACTTCAGATCTGCTCCCTGCAGGGGACAACAGCTAAGAAGGCTGGGAGACTTAGGAAGGGTCAATGGAGCACCCTCCTGAGCTCCGCTGCGGCTCCTAATTTCTCCCCTTCGCCCCTTCACCCCAAGGACTGCCTGGGCCGCGTGGGGAGCCTGGGCCGCGTGGAGAGGCAGGTCCCGTGGGGGCTACCGGACCTGCTGGGGAGTGCTCGGTGCCCCCGCGATCAGCCTTCAGTGCCAAGCGCTCCGAGAGCCGAGTGCCTCCGCCAGCGGACGCACCCCTACCCTTCGACCGTGTGCTGCTGAATGAGCAGGGACACTACGATGCCACTACGGGCAAGTTCACCTGCCAAGTGCCTGGTGTCTACTACTTTGCCGTCCACGCCACCGTCTACCGGGCCAGCTTGCAGTTCGATCTTGTCAAAAATGGCGAGTCCATCGCCTCTTTCTTCCAGTTTTTCGGGGGGTGGCCCAAGCCAGCCTCACTCTCAGGGGGTGCTATGGTAAGGCTGGAACCTGAGGATCAGGTGTGGGTGCAGGTGGGCGTGGGTGATTACATCGGCATCTATGCCAGCATCAAGACAGACAGCACCTTCTCTGGATTTCTCGTCTATTCCGACTGGCACAGCTCCCCAGTCTTCGCCTAACGTACAGTGAACCTGGCACTTGCTCCTAGAGGAGGGTGTGACACTGGCAGGCGCATACCAGGCGGGCTGGCCCCCTGGAATATTGTGAATGACTAGGGAAGAGAGAGAGCCACCTCCTGTCCCACCGCTGGCAAGGAATGGAGACAGAGGCTGTCTGAGGTCAAGACAGGCAGCCTGGAACAGTGGCTGGGTTACTGCCCAGGACTTTAGAGTGTGCTGTGCTGGCGACTGTGGGTTCCTGGTTTCCCTAGCCCGGGACTCCAAGGTGGGATGCTCCTTCCTAGTTCTGCGCCCCCTCTAGGTCCTTGACGCCATCTCTCCTGCTTCTAGGGCTGGCCTTTTTCTCAGAGGTCACTCAATAAACCTCAAAAACCTTCCACTGGATTCTGCCTTTCTTCTGAGATACACAGCCAGAAGGGTTCCTGAGTGGGATGGAGCAAACAGACCTAGAATAATCGGCTCCACAGAGCTGCCAGCTAATTATGTAGACTCTGATAGGGATTGCCTGACCAGGGGTTTGCCCTCCTGATTTGGGGCTATGGCCACCGGGAAAAAGGGACACGTTTCTAATTCAGACATGCCAAACCAAGTGGAAGAGGCCACTGTCTGATCTAAAAAACAAACAAACAAACAAAAAATCAGGGACTTTCAGTCACTGCTGCCCTTGCTGTGAGCCAGATAATGGTAAAGACACCTGCTTTCTTACTTAACCGGAAAGCTTTTGCTGTCACCCCAACCCAGGGATAAGTAGTTTCTAGAATGACCACAAGGGGGGGACCAAGCTCCAAACTGCAACAATGATTTAAGGTTTGAACTTCTAAGGTGGTTAGGGGAAAAAAGAATTTCAGATGGAGGCGGAAGAAAGGGAGGTCCTTGACCCTCAGCTCAGGAAGTTTATCTTCCCTAATAAAATGTTTATCCTCCACATTAAACAGAGACTGTAAGGAGCCTGGCTGCTCTTGGCTCAGCAGGGGGTGAGGGTGAGGGGATTGTTTCAAGCCCTGCCACAGGCCTTCAATTCAGGGGTGGAGGTGGAGAACTGTCTCCACTATGCTGGGCACAGCCTGGGTGGGCCAAGCCATTAAATGGAAGCTGGCCACAGGCCCCCTGAGGGCTCACCTCCTGTGACACTCAGCTTAGCAGGCTCAGGCAAATGACTAGCAAACATCCAGGGTTTGCTAATCCCAATTGCTCAACCTCTCAGTGCAAGAGTGGAGGGACCTCCTTCAGGAGGACCCAGCCTCTCCCCCTCTCCAGGAGGCATGTGCTTCTAGGGTAACACAAAATTACAGGGGAGTGCCCCTAATTTCCTGCGAGCCCTGGGAAGGCAGCTGTAGCAAAGGGGCCCTAGGTTTCCTGTGTCTTCCAGACAGGCCTGTAGGCCTCCAGGCTCCAGCTCACACTTCTAGAAAAAAATCCCACACTCCAGCTCATCACAGTGCCAGGCCCTGCCCCAAGACACAAGAGACAAGCACCACCCTGGGTATGGTGGTACATGCCTTTAATCCCAGCACTCAAGAGGCGAAAGCAAGTGGATCTCTGAGTTCAAAGCCAGCCTGATCTACATAGTGAGTTCCAGGACAGCCAGGGCTACACAGAGAAACCCGGTCCTGAAAAACAAACAAACAAAACAGCAGCAGCAGCAGCTCCTCCAGGAATTGGAGGGAGGCCTGGCCTTCAGGCAGCACTGCGCCCTCCAGAGAGTGGCCCCACTGGCAGCACGGGAAGGGCAGGCTACAGGGGCAGCGAGTTCACACTCTTCACAAGGACTTAATGCAGTACAGGTCAGAGCAGAAGGGGTAAGCACCAAACAGCCATGCTTTTGTGTGGGCTTCCCCTCGACACAGTCCTGCCACCCTGTCTCCTTGTCCCCACCCCCAAGCTAGGCAATCCAGATGCTCACTTCTTACTCTAGCCAGTCTGAGAGATCAGAGGCTACACTGGCTGACCACCTGCTGGCACTTGCAAGGACCACACTGTTAGAGCTGTCAACAGAACTTTATTCATAGAAACTGTGCAGGCAGACCCAATGGAGCTGCAAGCCCAGGGCTAGCCCGGTTTGGACCCTAGTGAAATGTGCAGAAGGCCCTCCCCAATGCCGGAGAGAGACCAGGAGGAATGACATGTTCTATGCCATGTGGGGCGTGAGAGTAACGAGCAGAAATCTAGTTATTCCTTCTGAGGCTCCGCCTGGAGCTGAGGGTGCCTGAGAGAAAATGGTCCCAAAGCCAGGCTTAGCTGCACTCCTGTGCCCAGGGATAAACTCCTGACGCCAGGTTCTGGGTCAAGTTGGGAGTCTTTTAAGACAATGACAGGCAGAAGTGGCTCTAAGGGCACCTTCGGGATTCTACTCCCAGACCCACCAGGGCAGAGGCTCTGACTGAGCATAAAGATTCAAGATCATTCCAAAACAAGAAAAACCAAAAAATAGAAAAATTAAGATCACTCCAAGGCCCATGAGTTGCCAAAATCCTCACATGACATGGATGTGGTGTGGCGTAGGGGGAAAGGACCAAAAACCCCAACAGAAAAGCCAGAAGCAATGAAGGTATCTAGGGGGCCCTGGGCAGACTGAGGAAGAGCCCACCATAGTCTCAGGACCCTTGCATAGTGACTCATCCCCTCAACAACACAGGGCCCCACACAGGGTTCAGGGAAACTGTTACCCTGCCCCATCCAGACTGCAGTCTTCCAGAATATTCCAGCTACGTGTCCTGGATATATGGCTTGAGGCTTGACAGAGTCGCCATCATGTTGGGCCAAAGAAGACTCAGGCCCAAACCCAGAGGCAAAATGTTGGTGCTGTCCTAGTGTGTGGCACACAGAGTGGGCAGGCAGGGAGGGAGTCATCAGAGGTAAACATTGAGGGTCTGCAGGATGCCTCGGCGGCAGAGTGGGCAGTTGCGGTGGTAGACAGGGTGGCGCATGAGGATCTCGGTGCAGGCCTGGCACAGGCACAGGTGCCGGCAGGGCAGAAGCAGGACGGTCTTGCTCTGGTCCTGGCAAATAACACATTTCTTCCTCTCCTCTTGTTCCTTCAGCAACTTCCATGGGTCTTGCCCGGCTGTAGGCTCTTCCTCATTGAGTCTCTCCCGGCCCCTAGCCGGGGCTGCTCTGGTGGGCCTAGCATCCTGCTCTTCTGCTTCAGGAACAGTGTCTTGTCCCTGGACCCTGGTTGAGAACACCCTCCGGGGGCCACCTTGGGGAGCCCCTGGCGC